TTTAATCGCATGAGAGATTGTCAATGTACAGTTTACACGTTTAAATGATAACAGTATTTAGTTAACTAACATAATGTTTTTTTTATTGGCTGGTAGACATTGAAAAAATGGCAAATTATATTGTTATTTCTAAGACAAATTTAATATTAATTCAGTATAGTTCATATAAGAAACAGCAAACCAATAGTTATTATACATTATCCGTTACTTTTTCGTAGAGTGAGTATTATTTACTATACGTTGTATTTTATTTCTAGTAGTTATTCCCATGTTCGAGAATTTGTCAACCGATTTCTCTACCATCGACAAATATTTAAACTTACTGTGTCAAAAGTTTTCATTTGTACTGTCAGTCATTATTAGAGACTTTTCTCAATAATACCAAAGTTTATCATAGTTGCTACAGTACTATCTTATCATTATTTTGATTTACGTATGCGTATGTCATCACTTTTTATTGGCTAAATTCAAATCAATCGCATTTGCGTAGATCAGCCAAGCCATATGTCCGAATGGTTTACACCGACACTCTAATAAATCAGGAGATCTACAAAGTATTTCGTACTCATTATACGTCACCCATTCATAGATTTAAATGAGTGACATTATACACGACCTGCCTTGTATCATATACGCCACAACTGTTCACTTCTTTATAATTCTAGAACAAATTCCTCGCGCTCACGGTAAGCTTACTAACCATTAATTTGTAACCGTATCATTCTTGACGCAAATCAATCAAATTAATAAATTTTTTGCCTGTTGATTGCACAATCGTCAATTATCAATGACCCACAGAATATCACCAATTTATTTAGTCACATGCATTTTTCGACAATATCACAAAAATATTTATAAACGCAACTTACATCAACGTATACAGACTTTTGTCTACAATATTTTCTCACTTACTGATACGATAATTTATTTGAATTAGATGCATTTTTTACCAGATCCCTTTCAACAAGCATTGCCTGCCATCGAACAAAAGTACACAATTCCGGCACTCGTATTAGAGTTGAGGGCGCAGTAGAATTGTATAATGATACGATTACTGTAAACCACAAGATTCTACTTTTTATACCCAAATCAATTTACCAGTAACAATCCAAAATATACAGTCCCCTCTCACAATTACACCGTGCTACTATCGTCCGAAATAGCCTCCACCAAAGAAAAACCACGTCTCACTGACTCCACCACATCTACCACATCCGAAACGAATTCAAGTCATTCAGTTTCAAATGAAATAATGGGGGAAACACACAATAACACTCATGTCGAAGCAATCAAAAATCCCCCACCAACGCACGTTTAAATCCAGACAAACAATCCTGCGAGATTTGGTCTCTCGAAAGTTAACTTGACTTATTTAAATATATTTGAGCAAATTATTGTTAGAGAAATATTTGTCAATGCATAAAATATTATATATAATATATATTAATATATTTAAAACTATTGCCTTTAGCTTTCTATTTTTCTTTCTTTTTTAGTATTCAACATCTTACCGTACCTATATTTTTAAGAGTTGTTGGATTTTTAACCTACATTACTTTAATAAAAGCATCGTTTGTTAATTGCACTGATACACACATAGTCTAATTTCTTTGCTAAACAAACCTCATTTACATATCTTTCTCTAGCATCAGCATTCTACTTACAATGAGACTTCCTTTTGTTTACATACTGGTCTCACTAATTAAATCGTGGTAAATATCTTCTGCCCACACAAAATTTTAATTATAGAGGAAGGTTAAACGGATTTTATATCAATCGTCATGGCGATATCTAAAAAAATTTAATTAAATACCACTATAACATTTTATTATATTTTCGCACGCTTTAAATACATATACCACCACATCAACTAAGAAATTTTCAAGAAAATTACTCACAAATATAAAGTGCTCTCACCAATTTATCAAGCTAATTAAATATGGAAATTGCAAATATAAATTTGATAATAATATAGCAAAAAAGTGTAATACGATCTAGCCGTCTAATGGCCGTCTCACGGTTTGATACAAATTTGGTCAAAATAACCTTTTAAGGACATACACGTGATGGTTTGTGATAGAAAACAGTGACTAAACTTTGTGAGGTAATTTCTGAGTTTTCATAATCTTTATTGGCACACGTGTGTGGTGATCACATTTCGTGCTTTTACGACCCCAAAAAATTATCTAGTGCCTTGTGGCATCCAGTACATAGTTCATAAAATAAATAAAACATAAATACATAGTCTTAATATACTACTGTACATTCTATATAGCTTAAGCGTTATTTCTGATTACTACTTTTCCTGATACAGCATTATCTAGTCAACAATAAACTGATTTTCAAATTCGATTGCCTCGATAAACTGGTGAGGAGCGCAAAAGATTCTCATATAACAAATTCCATCACACACTAATTCAATTAGAAATAATTTGATGTACTTACTTATCATTTATTGTTTATATTCTGCATTGTTGGTTTTCCCCATTTGCGACCTCCGAAAATGCATTACTATTATCCAAATTACGAATTTCGTCTATGTCTATTATGATTTTTGTCATCTTCTAAAAAGTCATTTCTTTAATCATATGCTCGCAAAATTTAGTGCACTGCACAGCAGGTTTTTTACTACGCTAGTTTGCAAATAAGGACAAACAATCTACTTTAGCATTAAATGCAGGAGTAATTTTTTAACTTGTATTTATGAAAAGAGTAAACCGTTATACGAAGTCATAATCTCAGAGCCTTACGTGATCACAGCTGTTTAACTTGTTCACATGCTAGCTTCTAAAACAATTCGCTGGATCTAGTACAAGTCGATAAAGTTGTTAGCAACTACAATTGCCGGGACTACTGGAGCATAAAAAACAACGGCGGATCCCAAATACTTCATTTATAGAAATTGTGATCTGAAAAGCTGGCAAGTTTGGCGCATTGCAATCAGCAGGATTGTTGACGGAATCTTTTGAATATCTTTTAGCATTCCCAAAATTCCATCACTGTGTGTCCATTCCTTGACGGTAAAGTTTTGCCTGAAATTTAAAACAAATCAGATAAAATAGGCAATACTTAATTTAGTATCATTGAAAACATAAGATATACCGTCATTGTTTTATAAAAATACTGGTTACAGGTTCTCGAATTGGTCTTTCTTCCAAAACTTGATGCAATGACAGCACGAACATATTTGTCTTTAATCCATCTCAAACATCCTTGTCCCAGACGACCAAATCTTGGAATACACACAAATCACTGGGGAGGAACAGGTATCACGGGGGAAGCGGAAGGTCTTGGGAGGATTGACGACAACTCTATTATTAGAAATGTTAAATAGCGTTGAAGCGGCCTCATGTTTTGGTTGAGGCCATACCAATTATAAACGGGAGCTATTTACTTGCCCGATAGTCATTTGCCCGACAGTTCATTTGCCCGACAAATATTATTTCAAAATTATCCTTTTCTGGATAGTTTTTTGTCGGGCAAATAATTGTCGAGAAAATGATTTTTCGGGCAAACGAACCGGACCCATTATAAAAACGTCACCAGTTTTCTTGTCGAACCAGAATTCGTATCCTTGGTTCTTAAGGAAAGTGTTATAGTTTTTATCGTAATGTTCGAGCCAATTTTCAAAGGCAAACTGCATTTCCATACAAAATCAATATTAGGTGGCGCTCAAGTAATAAAGTAATACACCCATACACCCACCTGCTCTCTTCTACTGGTTTTGTTGGTAATTGTGTACAAGTTCGTCAAATCTGTCTAAATTTCTTGCCCACCAAATGTCGCTTGAATAACGTGTCGTGAGACATGATTCAAGAGTAAATAGAGTCCGTAGCAATCAATAACGTCGTCAATCACAATCATTGGTCGAGATCATGTGCCGGACAGAGAAACTCATGTGATCGAAATTTTTCATAGTAAAATAGTCCTTCGCTTTGCTCCAGAACTATGGAATATAACGATCAATTGATTGATTGTCTGATTCGATATAACAGACAAATTGTGCAGTAACGTGATCTGATAATCATATTATTTACCAATGAAAAACTTTTCCCAATAAACTTGTTGTAAAATAATTAACAATCATCGATCCATAGATAAAGTAACGTATAGAATGTGTAAATGTCTTTATACAATAAGCGCTAATTTCCTCAACAATTGATAAACACATACCATCGTCGTTTCTTTTATCTTTTATATTTCCCAAACCAGTCTGAATCACTTTGCGGTATTGTCATTTTTCGAATATCAATTTTTTTTCAAACTATTACAAACCGAAAGTATACGTGTAAGATCTCACAAACCCATCCTTACGAACGTCCACTCAATTATCTACACCAGCTTGCTCCCAGATTTGACAGACTTCCAAAATATATGCATGTACCTCACAACAAATATAAATAATGCTCTTACACAAAAACAAACCATATATTATACTAATACGGAGCGCGCGCCACTCCCCACGTTAGTAATTTCAAAAGCATTTCACTGATATGTCGATCAGTACTTACTTACGATTGTCTTTGCATCGCACCAGTAGAAGGAAGGTCATCGCTACGGTATTCAGTAACTCAAAGTACTCTTATGTCAGTTTACTCGCATTTGTATTAAAACAAGGTTTATTAATACTAAATTGGTTTATAAAGTTATACAAGAATGTATTATGCCATTAGGATGCTCTTCGAGTATATTCAACATCCAATATTCAATCATTACTTTGAAAATATTAAGCCTAGTATTCATTATTATTATACGGAATACAAGATTGGAATGACAATCAGTTAAATTGACTAATTTGGAATAGTATATAGTAATAGGCTTAACCGCTTCGGGTAACATTTTCCCTATACGGACTACCTTATTTGTCATCTTGAGTTACTATCATACTCCGAGAATGAATACAAAAATTCTAGCGTTCATTATATATCAGAAAGTTTTTAAAGCAGAATTAGGGTTTGACCAATCTCTCGCATTTAATCTTATTTTTAGGATTGACCGCAATGTCGAAATACACTCGAAAGAAGCCACTGATTGTTCCTGAAAGCTTATGTAAACTGATGAATACATACATTTGCATACTTGAAACCATTTCTTTGGTCTTCAAAAAATTTGTAGTAGTAAAAAGGGAAGATTGTGATGACATCTGCGCATACAACTCGACAACAGTTTCAGACAAGCTTGTGAAATCCCCTCTGAAGAAAGTATTAAAAAACGGACACTGGACTCCTGAGGTAAATGCAATGTACAATATACTTTGGAGCTCGCTCAACATTTTAATATTTATCTTACCATTATTACATACCTAATGATAATAGGAGGATAAAAAGCTCAAGGCTATAGTAACAATCTATGGTCCGAATAGATGGGAAAAGATCTCTACTTACCATCCTACTCGCAATGGCAAGCAAATGCGAACCTGATGGCAATTCCACTTGGACCAGAAAGGTAAAGATTTGACATTTAGAATTGGTCACGCTATTACTTTCAACGAAATTCACCGAGGCGTCTTTTCTTATCAAATAGTCAATAAAACACGATTCTCAAAAAAAGAAAACGCCACCGTTTATTATATGCGAAATAAGGAAAAGAAAGGATGGGCAGACATTTCACGAAAACTTGGCAACGGTCGGACTGCTAGCGCGTGTCAAAACGTTTATAAAAATATCGTGGAGAAGAAACTTAAAAAATGTCCAAAATCTGCTAACGAATATAAGTTGTTATATGATGCAACGCTCGTGACAGACTTGAAAGACTGTTCACCGTAAGTATTGCAGACGTCATTTGTGTTACAATGTCTAGTAAACGGTTTGCTGACAAAACTCCGTCAAATATTCAATAGCAAAGAAAAGATGGCAATAGGATTTCTTATTACGGCAAAGATCTTGATCGAGCCCAAAAAATAAAATGGATATCAAAATGTTGTTATATAATATGTAATCAAAAGATTTATTTCATAATCTTGTGATAAATATTAAAAATATAACAATGGAGACGAAGACTTGGGAAACCCGTTAAGAAAATTGTACAATTTAATCATATTTACAGCACTTTTTAGTTAAAATAATCTTAATAATTTACGTGTGTGACGTGACAGTAAACATATTTTATTTCGATAGCTTTAGTATCCGAGAGAAAAGGTGGGCGCATTCTAAGGGAGGGATACTGTATCAGAGGTACATAATGCACAGATAAAACCTTTAAGTAGGGACCATTAATTATATAATATAAATGATATTAATATGTGTATTTATTATTTAGTTAAACATTGATTTATGTTTATTTGTCTTATTTGATTACTTCTCCTACTGTTAACAAATTTTTGAGAGACTATTTAATAGTCTCATCTGTTTACTTGCGTCCTCCTGTTGTAACGTACATTTTCTAAACCTTTAACACACTATACTGGCACTTACGGTGGAATCAACACTGTCATCCAATTCATCAACGTCTTTAAATGCCTCTGCAATTTTCTAACAAGTTGGGCTATTATCTGAAACATTGAAAGCTCAGAACGTTTTATTCGAAGACATTGCATGCATGTATTGCTGTTATAAAGAGAATCGTATAAACACAAGTGATCGAAAAAAAAAGTTTATTTCTACAAAAACTGCAGTGCCGAAATTAAGAAAATAAATAAATTATGCTCAAATATTCGCAAAACAATTCACTCAATGGATAAAGTTTGCAAGCGTACATATAGTATGGGGGTACGATATCCTAGTTTATGAAACTCCACAAATGAACTTTTTTTCGCCGTATAAACTTCAAAACGCCAAGGCTTTTCAAGGACATAAGTTATGGACTCAAAACTTAGACAATAGACTCTTTCATACTTAAAATGGAGCTCTTTTTTTCCTTTGCTACAAAATAATTAGAAAAATATTCGTACAAAGAAGTTTCATACACATAAATTAACAATAATGTCACTAAAACAAAAAACAGGCTCCATTTTTTTTGCTGTTAAGAAAATCGAGTTTATGTGGTTTCAATTTGGTGTGCGTATCTGCTTTCTCTGAGGTGGTGAGTGGATTTGAAGTTATTAATAACTAATTTCACTAAATCTGGCAAGGATTTATGGAAAAAGTGACCGGCGTTTCTCAAATACCATATTAAGCCATCAATTGCCGATCATTGTCGATAGCAAAAATACGATATCTTCAAATCCACTCACCTCCTCAGAGAAAGCGGATATGCACACCAAATTGAAACCACATAAACTCGATTTTCTTAACAGCAAAAAAAATGGAACCTGTTTCTTGTTTTTAGTGACATTATTGTTAATTTATGTGTATAAAACTTCTTTGTACGAATATTTTTCTAATTATTTTGTAGCAAAGGAAAAAAAGAGCTCCATTTTCTAGTAAACCAAGTATGAAAGAGTCTATTGTCTAAGTTTTGAGTCCATAACTTATGTCCTTGAAAAGCCTTGGCGTTTTGAAGTTCATACGGCGAAAAAAAGTTCATTTGTGGAGTTTCATAAGGGAGGTCACATATGTCTGCAACACTAGGATATCGTACCCCCCATAATATGATTTCCTTTAAGATCGACATAACTAAAACTCCATGTATATTTTGCAGATTTCTCCCGAAACGGTAACGGTTAGGTCTTGACCAGGTATAGGATAATTTGCTTGTACGGTAGGTACTGAAATTGTACTATAACATTTTTTCCAAACAAGATACCGTTCAGGTCCTAAACCTGGCATAGCGTTGATTGTGGAAAGCATAGCCAACAGAATGAGTGCAGTAATAATTTTTCGAACCATTTTCGTTTTTTATTTAGGTGTGTAGATAGTTTGGTGGAGTATTGTTAGGAAAAAATCTTTTTGTTTTCAGTGGAATGGGTTTCGACTCGGTTTGACGTTTTCTTTATATAAGAGTAGACCCGTCTGTCTAAAACTTTGCACATGGTTTGACCTTGTAAAATTCTTTATCCTATACATGTGATAATATAAAATGATCGATCGGATACGGCACGAGGTCATTGAAACGTTACCAGAAAAGAGAGACGAACACAAAGGCATAATTATGTCAGTTTGAAATAGTGGTTCCAAAGTTGTCCACATTATTTACAGCATGAGAACTTCTTTTTTAAAACTAGCCAGTTATACTGTAATCGTTACCTACGAGCAGACCCGTTTTCCACATAATTTGAGTAACACTCTTTATTCTGTACATGATAATCTAAAATAATGATAATCGGATACTTTTTTTTCAAAATGGTCCGTTATGATCGTTGCCTTATGTCGTGCGCCATTATCGTAATGAAGAGTGACTTTTCCCTTACATTCGAGCAGACCCATTTTTCACATAATTTGAGTAACATTTTTTATTCTGTACATGTGGTAATCTAAAAGTATTTTGTGTCTTGGCAATAATGATGATCGGATACGGCGCAAAGGCTTGTCCATACGTACGATACAAAAATGGTTTTCTTTATAGCTCAAATTTTATTAAACTAACGTTATCAAAGAAGAGAAAGAGGTGATTTACGAAAAGTTGTGCTTTTTTGGAATCTCAGCTCATCATTACGAGAAACACCGACTAGTTGGGCGGGTTATTGCTAAATAAACTATAATTGTTTAAAGATAACAGACAAAGCTCTTCATGCACTTTTTTCATGTGCTCCAAAAATATTGAATATACAGTTTGTCATGCGCATATATTTTTGATAGTAGTAACTCGACAATGCGGCAAGGGATAATAAAAATGAAGATCACTGCACACAAATATAAGATAATAATACATATCGGATATGAACGATCTTGCATCCTTACCAATGAAATAATTATAATTATAATCAACACTCGCCGTCCGAGATATATTAGAAAAACCGCATTTAGTAAGCATATTTCCACAATGAGGTATCGCACCAATAATATATTGAGGAAGCGAAATTCAGTGTTACAAATTTATTTCATGGGAAGCCCCATTCCGAATGGACACATATGTCAGATTAGAATAAGACAATCAGGTAACAATGTTAGTAAAATGTTTTATTGACATTATAATATCAACTCTACATGTGTATAAACAGCATTTTAAAGTCTAAGTTTTAGCATAAAGAATAAATAATTTGCATAAGCGCAAGGGACTACATTATATTGTTCGTATACATTTGAATCTTATCTCATGATACAATAGTATACACATAACGAATTTCTACCCGCCCGTCAATTGTGACGGTTAGACATACAGTATTTCATAACGTTTTGTTGCTGTCACATGTAATCATATCACAATGTAAACTCCGTCAACCAAATTCACATACGTAAAACATTGAAAGTTCAGAACGTTTTATTCGAAGACATCGCATGCATGTATCGCTGTTATAAAGAGAATCGTACAAACACGAGTGATCGAAAATAAAGTTAATTCTCACAAAAATTGCCATTGCCGAAAATTAGGAAGAATAATGTAAATTATGCTCAAATATTCGCAAAACAATTCACTCAGTAGATAGTAATTAAAGAGTTCGCAAGCATACGGATAGTATAATATTGATTAGTTTTAAATATTAATTCGTAAATAGAATAATCGCCGAAATATAAAATTAGCATAAAATTACTTGATAACCCATCAAGCGATAGATAATGCACAATAACATGCTGTTCTGTTTATCGCTTAAATCAAAATCCTTTATAATAATAAAGTCGGTCGTAATCGTGCTGGTAGATGTGTGTCGCACCACTTTAAACTTAAACTCAAATAGTTAAGTTTTAAATATTTGAATTGAATAAATTTTGTATCATCGCAAATGAGTGAACTTCTGCTAGCGCGTTTACTAACACAAAGCGTTCTTTTCTTTTTTACAGTATGTCGATCAGTGTTCTTGCACTCCGCACCCATAGATGACTCTTCGCTAACCATTCAGTAATCAAAGAGTTTTTTCATAACGATGCGTTCAGATCAGGCGATGTTTAGTCACAATTGTATTTGTCACACAGTCGCTAACGTTTTAGCTCAAAGCTTAGTAATTAACAAAATTAGATGTAACCGCAAACTAAATGCACAAGCGATTGATATATTCGTCACAAAGCCTCAATTATTTGTAGTTCTAATTGATAATTTTAATTACATGATTTAACTGTACAAAATTCAAAGACATTAATATCAATATTATGGTACCATCTCAGTTAGTTTTAACATCATTACTTTTACTTACAGTAGTATACAATACATTTCGAACTGACATATGTCAGTCGGAATGGACATAAATTTTGATTCGACATATCATATGTCAATTCAGAACAGACATAAATTTT